ATTTGGTCCATTTTTAGGTTTTAATCCTTGCGCGCAGGATTTCAAATCAAAATGTTGTCCTAAAAAATCTGACGAAGTTGCAAAAATTTTTTATGGTCAAAATGAAGAAGACAAGGGAGCCGGATTTCAAAAGCATGTTTTCTTTCGGTCGTAATCTTGAAAACTAGAATCATGACTGTTTTTATGCCGCTTTTGGACATTCATTGACCTGTAACTAAAGATTGAGACACATTTTTGACAAAAACTCTCCCTTGCCTTCTAGCTATTTGAACACTGATCATTTTAAGCTATCGCACAACATTCTACCTCTTATGGTCTCCGAGATATGGGATCATGCACATACCACGTGACCCAAAAAAGGCCACTTTTGAACCCCTCCTTCCCCCTTTGTGACCCTCTGTGACTCTTTCACGACCCCTCCCCCCTCCCCCAAAAGTCACGTGGTAATTTTGGAATTTGATAATTGCTTTTTAGTAAGACTGCCTCGCCAACATTGTCGTCTTTTCATTGTTTCTTGGCTTGCGTTAGATTCGGGTGTGAATAAGAAAGCTTTACCACAGCTGGACAGGACTTGAAAGGATCACACTTAATGACTATGAAGGTTTTCATGCGCACCCGCGTACGGAATTAAACATGCATGTGTAATGTTACGCACAAATTTACGCGCAACGTAACGCATGTTTAATTTCTTACGTTGCGTATGCGTAAAAACCAACATAGTGAGTGTGTTAATGAATTACTGTTGTTGCTTGCACACTGAAAACCTTGCAAGAAATCTGACTTCTTTGTAATAGAAAGATTGTCTTTGGCATAACTAATCGTTTGTTCGCTCTTCGCAAACCTCGTGTCCGTAATTTGCAAAGAACGTGTTTGCATTATGAACTAAGGCTTGCTCGCAAAATACGAGTGCACAGTTGATCCAGGAAGCGGAAGAAGGGAATAACTTGACTTATCCCCAAATTGAGTTTTTATTTTATTATTGTGCCTTAGAATGGTCTACATTATTACACCAAATTATTTGACTGAATTCCAAGCAGTTTAGGAGAAAATCCACATGGAAAAAGGGTATAACTCAACTTAACCCCTTTTACGGTCTAAATTTCATTGGAAAATGGAGATAACTCAACCTTAGTCTACATGAGTCCGTTTGACAAATTGGCAAAAGGATATAACTCAACTTGTGTTTTTATGGATCTAGTGTAAAAAGAATCAACTCAACTTAACCCCCCCTTAATTTTAAATTTCAAGTTGGAAAAAAGAGCTAAGTCCAAAAAATACACCAGAGTAACATACACTTTATGCAGACTATTGTTCCACTTGACTTGTCTCCAAATTCCACTTTGTTTAGGAAATATAAGGTGAGCTGACTCTGTTTTCCATTTCAACGGAAAGTGATAAGTCGCAGAAATCCTCTACGGAGTGACCTTACACTTTTGATTTGTTTTCCAAAATTTTACGAATGCTTTTTGAAATTATTAACATCTGCAACATTCATTTGTTTTGTTTTAGTTTTCCCTGCTAACAGTGTTTTGTTTCTCCTGAAAAATGGCCAAAATTGAGTTATCCCCTTCTTCCGCTTCCTGGATCAGTTCTTCGCAAGATAAAAACTGAGTGGTTTGTAAAGTGAATTACACATTCCTCGGCAAGAGTGTTCTGTAGCAACTGTCATTTTAATTCAAGTGTCACCATCTTTCATTTTAAAAACAATGTGCAGTGGAGTCCGTTTAGTTCCGAAATATTCATGTCACGTGACCTTTTGGCAACCCCCCGTCCCCCCTTGTGACCTGCCGTGACTTTTTCGAAACCCCTCCCTCCCCCTAAATAGGTCACGTGGTATGTGCACGACCCCTATCCTGCGCGCAAGGTCCAAAAAAAAGTTACCGAGAAAAACCGGTTTAAAGTTGGAGGGCCTACACTGGGAGACCTAACTGTGATTGTACTGTTAAAGCTCCCTATGCCGACTTTCGCGGAGCTGTTTCGAAATGGAGTGTGGTTTGCCGGACCCGAGTCGAACAGTAGCAAATACTGAAAATCGGATTTTCGTTCATTCCCCCCTACCGCCCCCTCCTACTTGGAAAACTTTCAGACAGGGCATTCAGTGATACTAGTAAGATAAAGGCGTTAAATTCCCTAACATAGCGTCGAAGGGAACCGTCATGTCGCATTTGACGAAACTGAAGCGTTCTGGTTATTCTGTGGTGCAACTGGAAGACGAACATAGAAAAATACCGCAGTAGGGCTCAGACAATGCGCAAATTAACAAATATGACAAATAAAAAAGTAGAATTTGGAACAGTAATTTGATGAGTCTTTGTTGCGAGGTGGAACAAAAATCATCTAAGAGACGGTAAATAAAGAGGTGCTCGGATGCACCTCACAGAGGTACCGGCCATAACCTGGACGGTGCTCCGGACCAGGGCCTAGGACTCTAGTAACTCAAAGCAATCCGTTTACAGTATACTGATTTGAAATATCAAAATATGTTTTTTCAGACGTAAACGAGGTATTTTTCAAATTTAAATGTAAAATTTTGAGAAAATCGGGTTTTAAAAGTGGAGTGGTCCATGGCTGAGGTTGTTTCAATGGTCGTCTTATCTTGACTTTCTTTAGTGAGTGTGAAGAGGAAAGGACCTGAAATGATGAAAAGCATCTTTAGAATGCAATAAACAATTTATTCACCAGGTGTTTCTAATTTATATGTGGGAATTTTGATGAAAATAAGATTCTTAATGAACACACGGTGTGTCTCCGTGATAGAAACCTTCAAATATAGGCACACTTCCATTTGTTTGCAGTTTGTCTAGGATGCAGTGCCATCTATTGAGGATTTTGTTTGACTATTCTCTTTTGAATATTCGACTGTAATACCCTCCACTCCCATCTATACATTTCTAATGAACGACATTACTGTAAAGAATAGTCTGTCAAGTATCAAACCCTTTTGATATTGCAACATTGTCTTAATATTCGTTTTCTTTTGGCTTCTTGTTTTTTACATCCTTGGGGCAGACCCCCTGAGCACACATGCCAAAGGGTTTCCAAAAACATCAAGCACGGTTTAGACTTCACAGCCGTTTCAGTTCCTAAGTTTTCGCAATGTGTTGGTTTAGCGTATAACAGTGGTAATTTTTTTATTTTAACCCAATGGTGGTTCTGGCCTATTGTTTCCCTTCAGATGAATCAAAAGAATTGTGAAAAAAATGCTACATTTAATGCAGTCTCTAATCTCAGCAACATGGCATACTTTGCTTACACGAAAATAAAATAATTGAAAAACAGGGGCTTATTAATAATGGTTTTGGTTCCACTGCACGGTGACCTTAGTGCTGGAAGGATTGCAACACCTTCAAGATTGCCTTCTTTTTTGTTTCCAGTTGGGTGCTGCTTGTATACGGCCTGCTGGCAATGGGAAATGTGGCAACATGGTTCCTTGGTGGAAACGAGTCGGACATGACCTTAGCCGGTGTGTTAACTGCATTGGCTGTGGGTAAGTTATTGCACCTTTCTCCAGTTATAATTAAGTGTCAAAGTACTGTCCTCACGTAGGACACAGGATTAATCCACTCAGTTTTTGAGGCAGACAATACGATACAATTAATACAACTGAGTGTTTATCTTACAAGATTGCCTTCATTTTTGTTTCCAGTTGGGTGCTGCTTGTATACGGCCTGCTGGCAATGGGAAATGTGGCAACATGGTTCCTTGGTGGAAACGAGTAGGACATGACCTTAGCCGGTGTGTTAACTGCATTGGCTGTGGGTAAGTTATTGCACCTTTCTCCAGTTATAATTAAGTGTCAAAGTACTGTCCTCACGTAGCACACAGGATTAATCCACTCAGTTTTTGAGGCAGACAATACGATACAATTAATACAACTGAGTGTTTATCTTACCATGATGTGTTTGTTTTGTTTCAGCTGCCACAACATTATTCTACCAATGAACAAAATTCAATATATTTTTTGATAATCTTGGCATTTTTTTATATATAATAAACAAAATACATTTTAGTCTTTGATAAACCTGTCATTTTTTCTTACATGACCCTACGACACTCCTCATTCGGTAATAGAATAGTTTAACCAGTCAGCACAGCCAAACACTTTGCCATGACGTTTGGCCTCTATTTCATTTATATACATGACTTCCATATTTTTACGAAGAAAATCCATAATTCAAAAAAACGGAGATCTCCGTTAAAAAAAATGGACAGTCTCCGTTAAATTTCCGTATTTTTACTGAGTTTTCTGACAGTGTGCCAAGCAGGCAGAGTTAAGAATTCGGGAGCAGGTGATGGAGAAAGTGAGGCTGGCCCCACCACTTTATGACAAGAATTCTGCCGGGTACAAAGACTCGGCAGCAAAGAAGAAACTTATTAAGGATGCAGCAGAAGAATTAAAAATGAGTAATGTGATCATAAAATATTATGTTCTAAAAATTTTAATTTAAACTTCGAAAAGCTCTTAACATGCACACACACTGAAGCTATATTATTAAAGTCTTAACCTCAACCTAACCTGTACACAATGTTCTTGTTTCAGTAACCTCTGAAGAGTTCATTAATCATTTTAAGTATTTAAGAGATGGGTACACTAAAGAAAAACAAACTAAGAAATTCTGAGGACTACAGTGGGGCAGCCAAGTCTGACCGAAAACCTTTCACATTTTATGAGCAAATGGCCTTTTTAGGGCCTCTTGCACCAACTCTGAGCTAACGCGCGGTTAGCTACGGTAACGGGGAGTCGTTAAGAGTCCGTTAAGCAAAATGTCTTTCACCACCCTTAACTACGCTCTCGGACTCGGTGAGCAATTTCTCATATCCGTTCCGTTAACTAACGATACAATGTTGCCATTCAAACGAGGATCCAGGCAGCACTGCTTCCGACGTAAAGGAAACACACCAGGCCGTGACGCGACCCTGACCATTCGCAATATTTTTGGCGCGAGAAGTTTGGAGGGTTGCGTTCTTTGTTTGTTATAGTTTTCTTAAAAGTTGTTATCATGACCCGCAAAAGGTCCCCTAATTTCATAGAGTCCGAGAAATTATTATTCTCGCAATTGCTGGAAGTACACGCACCCGCAATTGAATGTAAGAGATCCGACGCCCAGACGGCGAAGGAGAAAAAAGAGGCTTGGGAGGCACTTCATGCCTCATTTAATGCTTCAACTACCTATGTAACAAGAACGATTGACAATTTGAAATCCCTGTGGGATAACATGAAGGCGCAAGCCCGAAAGGCACTCGGCACGGAACGCCGAGAGATGTATGGAACAGGTATGTATGGGCACAATGTACTTGGTGCTTGGAGGTTGTGTTACCATCCCAGTGGTTTCGAAAATTTGTTACTGTGAGCAAAATCAACTAAGACGGACCACTTCTTCCAGCGACCCTCTCCGATTTGCCTGATTTTTTGTAGGCTTAATAACTAACTAAAAGAGAGTCTAAAGCCAAAATATTAGGTCCGGCAAAACTTTATTGACCGAGATATGGCCAACTTAAGTTTAACTTTTGGAGGAAAAACACAAATTTGGGTATTTTGGACTAATTTTACACTTTTCATAGTAGAGGGCTAAAATTTGGTCACCTTATGTAAAATTGACCAAGGAACAAGAATATGACCTCAGATTTGACCTCCGACGAATACCTGCAGAGTAAACCCCCCAAAACACCTTCAAAACACCTAAAAAAACAGTTTTTTCTTGGGGTTTCTGGGAAAAATATGTGGACAAAAACTTCTGATGATCTTATCTTGTAGAAAATGACGCGATGAATCGAATAAGACCACGCGCAGATTTTTATGTAAAACCGTTTAGGAGATATAGCGGATCAAAGTATGCAAATTTTGCCATTTATTCTTTTAAAAATGGAGGTTTTGAGCATAGTTTGACGTTATCTGCCTTCTTGGTGTGTGTGGGTGATCCTATCTTGTAGAAAAAGACGCGCTGAATCGATTGAGACCACGCACAGAGTTGTATCTCAAACCGTTTAGGAGATATAGCGGTTCAAAGTATGGGCACGGTAGTCCGCCCGCCCAACAGGCGTGTTTGGCGGGACTGCCTTGTCGGGTGTTTGTAGGAGCTCTCCCGTGCCCATACTTTAAACCACTATATCTCCTAAACGGTTTGAGATACAACTCTGTGCGTGGTCTCATTCAATTCAGCGCGTCTTTTTCTACAAGATACGATCACCCACACACACCAAGAAGGCAGATAACGTCAAACTATGCTCAAAACCTCCATTTTTAAAAGAATAAATGGCAAAATTTGCATACTTTGATCCGCTATATCTCCTAAACGGTTTTACATAAAAATCTGCGCGTGGTCTTATTCGATTCATCGCGTCATTTTCTACAAGATAAGATCATCAGAAGTTTTTGTCCACATATTTTTCCCAGAAACCCCAAGAAAAAACTGTTTTTTTAGGCGTTTTGAAGGTGTTTTGGGGGGTTTACTCTGCAGGTATTCGTCGGAGGTCAAATCTGAGGTCATATTCTTGTTCCTTGGTCAATTTTACATAAGGTGACCAAATTTTAGCCCTCTACTATGAAAAGTGTAAAATTAGTCCAAAATACCCAAATTTGTGTTTTTCCTCCAAAAGTTAAACTTAAGTTGGCCATATCTCGGTCAATAAAGTTTTGCCGGACCTAATATTTTGGCTTTAGACTCTCTTTTAGTTAGTTATTAAGCCTACAAAAAATCAGGCAAATCGGAGAGGGTCGCTGGAAGAAGTGGTCCGTCTTAGTTGATTTTGCTCTATGGATGTTGTTTTAGGAGGAGGTGCCATAAACACGGAGGGACTGCCTACAAACGTAGACGAGGCAGTCATCGCGGTGATCGGGAAGAGTGCCACAGGCCTCGAAAACCCGCATGACCATGATGGAGTGGTAAGTCTTGCATTTGCAGCGTTAATTAATTTCCAAAGTCCACCCTTACATTAAAAGCTGTGAACTCTTTTCAGATGATGCTTCCTTCCTTCAATAATATGAAGGAGGAGAATGCCCAATTTATCGAAGCAGAGGTCACCCCCATTGAGGCAGCCGACCTGGCCAAGGCCTTGAAGGAGGTCAACGAGTCTGCAGACTGGAGCCAATTCAAGGCTCCCCTGCTGATGACTCCCAAGGCTGCACCTCTGAAAGTTTTATCCTCAAGAGCATCAGCCTCCCCCAGCGCAGGCGACTCTGATTTGTCGGGACTTAAGAAAAGAAGCCTCAAAGATGAGGCAGAATATCTGAAAAATGTGAAAAGGAGGCGTCCTGTGCTGGAGGAGGCCTCAAAGAAGAAAGAGGAGATGTATGAAGCACGGACTGCTTTATGCAATGCGTCCAGGGAGCATATAATGAAGGAAAAAGAGCGAGAAGAAGCTCTCTTTGAACTGGAAAAAAAGAAGAAGGAGTATGAAGTAAAGATGATGAAGTTGCAGATGATGAAGATGAAGAAGGACTTGGGCCTGGACCTGGAGGATTCGGATTAAGATTTAAGTCATATATTTTTGTAATGTTAAGACACCCTTTCTTGTAGCACAAGTGACAGACAAAAATTAACATGTCACATGTGGTGCAAGTAAGGAAGGTGTCTGTAAATTATAATTGTACCTGAAGATGGGTGGGAGGTGACTGGAAAAAAACAGCCACCTCCCACCCTTTACCTACACCGACCTTGCCCTGCACCTTCATGTTGACATGTTCTGTTTTGTTGTTGTTAAAAGTTCTGGCAGCAAAATTTGATTTTGCAATACAGAAAAACAACAGAAAACAAAACGAGTCACTGGTGCTGGATTGGGTGGTGTTCTGTGATACTGGGAACTGTACTGTGATGTGTTTTGCCTTTTTGTTGTTTTTCTGTATTGCCTTTGAGTGTCCTTGCGAGTTTTGCAAGAGCCTTGTGGCTATTTTTACATGAGTCAGTATTTTATGGCGTTTTCCAAAGCCTTATTTTTTGTTTATTAATTTGATAAGCAACTCACCAAAGTGCATTTGATCTCAAGTTTTGGAGATCAATGCGTTTTATATAGTTGTATTTTTGCCATGTTACTTGTGCCAAAACTTATATAAGTGTTAATATAGATTGATTTTGTACTGCTGTTTTGTATTAAGTTTGATGTTAACACGGGTTTCTTGTCTGACTGAAATTGAACTGTTGTTGAGACTATGTTTTATGAATAAAAAAATAACTTCAATCTAATTTGGAACAATTTATTAATAATTAAAAATTTGAAGACATCCGACTCGTCGACAGATGTATCAAATATGTGGAAAAATTTGCGTGATGGGCCGTGAGCAGACCAGGAACAAAGAAAACGTCAGCGGATTGAAAAGTAACAGCAGAAAACCTTTTTCCTTCTACGATCAAATGCAATTCGTAGAACCTTACGTGAGGCATAGAAGGTACGATTTCTCTGTTTATTCTAGTGTGAAATACCACAAAACATGTACACTAGTACAAAACCCCTGAACCACCCAAACACAGTTGAAAAGAGGAACATTTTGGCGCAAACGGAACATACGTCAAAAGGAGCATTTATAATCCGAAAAAAACACGTCAAATCTATTTTTCCACTTAAAGGGCTTTTTCTCGAAACACCTTTTTTCTACCTTTGTGCCACTCTCACGGGCGCAAAATTTAAGATAATTGAATGCGGTTTGCGGCAAAATGTTCGTTAAACTTGCGTCTATGGTCTGAACCTCGGAAATGGCCATCCCATAAAAAGGACGTGAGCTGCAGCCATGAAAGCGTGAAAATATTGGTTAAAAAATTTGTTTTTAATTTTGCCTTCTGAAAACACATATTCAAAATCATTCTTTTTGCATGCCCGTGGTTCAGACCATAGCCACATGTGTCCTGTTGAGAAATTTTCAAGTCCCGTGCTCGAGGCTCAATCCAGAGAGGCAGAATCGTGGCAGGAGTGAAGCAAGGCCGCAGAAAAATGCAGTGCACTGGCGCTCCATCTTGCCATCGCCACCTTGCCCTCTCATACTGATTTTCCTTTTCTTTGACATAATCTTAAGCCAAGAATAAAATATCAATCGAATACGTTGGTTGCTTTTCTCAAAATGATCGTTTTTCGAAACCTCTGCATTTTCACTGGTGTGCCCCCTTAAGCAATACTACGAACATTGTGTTAGTGATGATGTTGATAGTAACAATATGGCCTCTACTAACGTCTACTAACGCTGTTGGACGGAACAAACACTTCGTTGGTGTTTTTCGATCGGTATTTGCTTTTTGGAACCTGGCCCAGCCTCGCTTAAGCAATACTACGAACGGTGTGTTAGTGATGATGTTGATTGGCTGAGCCAAACTTTATCTTTATCTTTATCTTATACGTTAACTGGGCGAAGCCCTCCATTCAGCCCACAGCCCAGAGCCCAGTGGAGATGCCGGGACTTGGCGGGACCCAGCCGGTTGTCAAGTTTACTTTCGATCTTTAGGCGTGTTAAAACCACGAAAGTAGCATAAAATGTATATGCATGGAAAGGGGAAAGTTCAAAGATTACATTGACGCTAATTTTGACGAAAATAAACTCTTTATGTGAAAATGAGAAGACGACGGGCGTGAAATGGCGAAGGCGAGAGAAGGCGAAAACGATCGTCGGGCCGTCGTTTACTCGCATCTTTGAGCATGTTAGAACGCCGAAAGTGGCACAAATTGTATATTTATGGAAAGAGGAAGGTTCAAAGATTACATTGACGCTAATTTTGACGAAAATAAACTCTTTATGTGAAAATGAGGAGACGACGGAGCGTGAAATGGGAAGGCGAGAGAAGGCGAAAACGATCGTCGGGCCGTCGTTTACTCGCATCTTTGAGCATGTTAGAACGCCGAAAGTGGCACAAATTGTATATTTATGGAAAGAGGAAGGTTCAAAGATTACATTGACGCTAATTTTGACGAAAATAAACTCTTTATGTGAAAATGAGGAGACGACGGAGCGTGAAATGGCGAAGGCGAGAGAAGGCGAAAACGATCGTCGGGCCGTCGTTTACTCGCATCTTTGAGCATGTTAGAACGCCGAAAGTGGCACAAATTGTATATTTATGGAAAGAGGAAGGTTCAAAGATTACATTGACGCTAATTTCCGTGAAATTGAACTCTTTACGTGAAAATGAAAAGACGACGGGCGTGAAATGGCGAAGGCGAGAGCGCACTAGCTGAACTGTGAATAGCATGATCCTGCCAATAGTGAAGCGCAGAGTCGTTCGAGCAGAAAGCAGAATTCAAGAAAATAATAACATTCTTTCAGATAACTTGACACTTTAACTGTACTTATGATTGTTCGTTCACCATAATTGTAACGTGGAATCGAAGGAAATGAGTACATGAAACCTGCATTCTATTGACACATCTCACCGTTCATAATCTTAATCTTAATAATGGAATAATATTTTACCATATTTGATTGGTTATGCATTCAAAGTAGTTTCTGTAAAACGATTGAAATTTATTATCATACATATCAAACATCTAACACTGGCACATGTATCACAGTGTCTTGTGTTTTTCTTGTAGACTAATATTCATTTCACAAAAGTTTATGATGCCAAGCGATAGATCAAAGAAATTAAAGACCTTATTCTGCGGTCATTCAAAAATATAAAAAGAGACAAGGAGAATCTTCGGGGGAATATATGGCCCTTGCCACTTTCTCTTGTCGGTGGATGTAAATTGTGAGCGCTTAAAGGCGTTCTGTGCGCAAAGGCGTTCTGTTGGGGTAGGCGTTCTGCCTGCCTAGGGGGATGTTATGTGTTAGGTGGCCTTTGCCACTTGTTCTTAAAATTACACATAAACTGTTGGTGCGCAGTTGTGTGGGTTGCACAAAGGCAACTAGAAAAAGAACAAACAGCTACAATCTATCTGATAGAGAACTTGATACCTTTGCAACCAATGACGTTCCTTAGCTTTTATTTGTAATGTGAAACTGACGGAAACATTGTCATTACATCTGTATTGTATTGACTTATATGCAATCAAAGAAGTTCCTGTTAAGGTTATTGTAAAGTGAAAAAAGTGACTATTTAATATTTTTTATTTACTTGTGTCAAATGTCTTAATTTATGGATAAAAGTTCCTTTCTATTGCATAAACTCATACACTAAGAGCAGGGCCCCACTTCATTTTAGTTTCCGAGTTATGGATGTTTACGGTAACTTTCAGTCGTTTCTCTCAAATTCTCCTCACGACAAAGGATTAGCTACCCAGTCCCCAGATTCAAGCAATTGTATTCTTCTTTGCCTAGGGAAAATATAGCGTTGCCCTTTTTTCAATATGTCACTTAGTTTTCTTCAAAATTCCAAGACCAAAATAAGACAAAATCTCTCAAATTTGAAGAAAGATAAAAATGGGCCTGGTGAAATAGCTTTTTCAGCCTCTTCCAGACTGATATTTTCAAATTTGCCCACGCCATCTTTTTCCAGTGCAATAATAGATTACTTGTCCGAATCTGAAGACTGGGTAGCAAATCATTTGTCATGAGGAGAATTTGGGAGAAACGACTAAAAGTTAACGTAAACATCCATAACTCAGAAACTAATAGGAGTTGGGGCTCCCAACTTCAGAAATAAATTCACCTAGTAGTGGTTGAATTTTGACCACAAAATGAACTTTCTGTGACAAATACTTTTAGGACATTCTAGTTTCACTTGACAGCCTCCTTAATCTAGAGATGTTAGGTGGCCTTTGCAGTACAAGGTCATAAATTAAATAAATGTACAGAGCTAAAATCCTAGCGGCACGGGGTATCGCCGCACGCTTCACGAGGCACGATGGGTTGCCTACCCACTGGGCTGATTCCTGTTCCAGCCGAGCCCACCTAGCGTCAAAGACATCAATGATCGTCACAGACCACTTTCCGGAACACAATAGAATTTTTTTCAACCTGGATACGGTGCGACGTCATAGTAAAAATGACAGCACTGTTAAATTAATCCAGAAACATCCTTAATAAATTAAACAAATGCTTAAAAATTGTCACTTTCTTAGCGACATAGAGGAAAATTTGAAAAATAAATTACAAATATGTAAACGTAGGAGCCCTTAGGCTCAGCCTGAAGCGGTAGCTTTTCCTAGTAGTGACCATATGGCCTCTACCAGGGGGCGGCAACACCCCAAAGCGGCAGTGAGGCGAAGCTCTCGCTCCGATCTTGCTCCGTGCAGGGGTCACGGACTTTTTCGAGATTATTCAAACTAGGCCATTGTTTGCAAATCGCTTTGCACATATCGAAAGAGCAGCACATAAAGGGTGCATTAGACTCATTGGCAATCCCTAAAGTGCCACTTCAGCCCTCACAAAATCAAAGTGAAAACACCGAAAAACACAATAAGTCTAATAATTAAGGAAAAAACCCCAGGGGCGCCATCTTTGTGTAAAGATTTCCGCGTTTTTCTCTTTTGTACTAAGTAAAATTGGGAGTTCTGGGAAGGTCAATGCGTCTAATGCACCCTAAATTTTGTGCTCTTTCGATCTGTGCAAAGCGTTTTGAAAACAATGGCCTATTTTGAATAATCTCGAAGAAGTCCGTAACCCTTGCACGAAGCGAGAGCTTCGCCTCACTCCTGCTTTGTAGTGTTACCGCCCCCTGCCTCTACTAACGTCTACTAACGCAATTGAACGGAACAAGCACGTCTTTAGTGTTATTTGATCAGTATTTGCTTTTTGGAACCTGGCCCGGCCCATGAGACTAGGGGTAATGGACTCGCAACGGAGCTGGCCGGAATCTCTGCCTTGCTAATTCTAGTTCACTATTTCTCCGACTAAATATGAGATTTTTGAGATGGCTCGGGCATTTTCGGAAAGAAGACATCTTAAAGTATGCCCCAAATTCAAAAAAAATTTCAATTTTCCCACCAGGGCTCGTACAGGAACAGCTTCGCCGTTGCCCTACTCAAATGCGCAGGGCGACGGGCATGGTGCCAGGGGCGACGCAGGGGGGACGCATCTTCAACTTGCGATAGAAGCTTCCCGATGCCGCAAAAGTGATGGGACAAGTGGTGCACCTTGATATATGTCGAAGACAAACTATGTCCCATCACTTTTGCGGCATCGGGAAGCTTCTATCGCAAGTTGAAGATGCGTCCCCCCTGCGTCGCCCCTGGCACCATGGCCGTCGCCCTGCGCATTTGAGTAGCGCAACGGTTAAGCTGTTCCTGTTCGAGCCCTGGTGGGAAAATTGAAACTTTTTTGAATTTAGGGCATACTTTAAGATGTCTTCTTTCCAAAACTGCCCGAGCCATCTCAAAACTCGCATATTTAGTCGGAGAAATAGTGAACTACAATTAGCAAAGCAGAGATTCCGGCCAGCTCCGTTGCGAGTCCATTACCCCTAGTCTCATGCCCGGCCTCGCGAGTGCAAGACTGTGGCCGTGGTGATAGTGAATGATGTTGATAGTGACGAGATGGCCTCTACTAACGTCTTTTTAGGACGTTTTCTCTTTTGGCACGTTTTTTTGGAAGTAACTGAACATGTGAATGTGGCCCGCCTTTTGGGTATTTTTTTAAAATGCACTTGGGTGTGTATACTAACGGCCGCATTGGGTCTACAATCATGTACTAACAATATACTAACGATTGCAGAAGGAAATTTGTTGCAGGCTGTTTGTGGGCGGGCTACCTTCACGTACCTGAGAGGTTTGTTCCAGTGCGTGTTGTTTAAGGTTCTCAAAAGAAAAGTTTTATTCGCATTGGTCTAATCAATTTTTGTTTATTGTTTTATGGTTGGAAACACTCAAACATCAGCTCTAAGTGAATCACCCTTTAAACCTACCAGGCAGTTCACAGCTGACAATCCGTATTCTATTGGTAAAACCTGATGTCTTTGGAGCTCCAGCAATTGATGGCCCTAGTTCATCAAGTCCAGGGCCATTTCGATTTGTAAGTTTTCACTCACATCTACTTAATTTTTCCTTCCACACTTCCGTCCACACTTCCATAAGGATGCTACGTTTTAAACTATCAAATGTTACATATTGAATGACTTTCCTCTTTTTTCATTTTAACTGTCTATTTATTGTATTTGATAAATAGTGTGTCTTTCCATAAAATATTGTTGACATTGCAGCCTCACAATTCAAGTCCGGGTAAACCTTTTGACAAAGATCTAGCAATGAGCAAATTGTTAGATGAAATCCCTGACCTGGATGTGGACATGGCAAGCAGCATCCTGGCAGAGGTGTTAGAAATTAAGGGACCTGTGACATGGGATTCAATTGCAGGCTTAGATGATGTGAAACGCACATTGCAGGTAATGTACAGTCGATTTGGCATGAGTCCTTTACACTTGTGGACATTTGTCTTCATGCAATTTTGTCTTGCAGGACATAGTGGTGAATCCACTTATTCGCCCAGACATCTTTACCGGGCTGAAAAAGCCCGAAAAGGGTGTTCTACTATTTGGCCCTCCAGGCACAGGGAAAACGTTGATTGGTGAGAATGGCATGCTTCAATTCCTTCGTTTCCTTATTTGTTAAAGAAGATTAATTTTCTTTTTTTTATTTAAAATTGTTTAGGAAAATGCCTTGCGTCTTTGGGAGGCGCAACCTTCTTTGCTATCAGTGCAGCCTCTGTGACTTCAAAATGGGTAGGAACTGGTGAGAAGCGAGTGAGGCTTCTATTTAAGATTGCAAGGTAAGAATTAAATTGAGTAATTTTAAGAGTGAATGTCTCCTTTGTTTTGACTAGACAATTTTTTATAATGTCTGGGTTTGCAGAGTGCTTCGCCCGTCCATAATCTACATAGATGAAGTTGATTCTATATTATCATCAAGGGGGGAAAGCAAGGAGAATGAATGCTTGTCTAGATTGAAAACTGAGATTTTGGCATCACAGGTAAGACCTTTATGATGTTTTCAAAAATATGACCCATTATAACAAACAGCCTGAGTTCATTCCTGGCAAAGTGAAGAATCCCATAGCTTTGCTTTCCCAAATTGACTTCGTTTCTTTCTTTTGAGGAATGAATTTACTTTCCAGGACGGCCTGCTCTGACAACGATGGTGTGCTTTTGATTGGAGCAACAAATCTGCCACAGAAATTGGACTCAGCAGCAAGAAGAAGATTCACATCCAGACTCATGATCCCACTTCCAGATGCAGAGGTAATCTCAAAATAAATGCATGAGTACTTAGCACATTTCTTAATCCCAATTATGATAATATCCTTTGTATGCTTAGGCGAGAAGAGCACTCATGGCACATGACATTAAAAATGACAATCACAGCATTGATGAGGATGGTATGTCCATGATTGTGAAGAAGACTGAGGGGTATAGCGGGGCAGACCTCCACACTGTTCTGAAGGATGCTGCGAAAGCCCCAATCAGGGAGCTTACCTCTTTGCAGCTCAGGACCATTCCTCTCAACAAGGTTGGTGTCCACTATTTTACTGAACAAACATCTTACTGCATCAAAACCTTGTCACACACAGAAGTATGTAATACAATCAATTTTCTTTCAGATTAGACCGTTTACCGTTGATGACGTGTTGGAAGTATTAAAGAAAAGAAAGCCCTCTGTGGCGGCCAAGGATATGACGGAGGTCTATGCTTTTCAAAAAATGTACGGTACCGCCTTGAAGAAGGCAACATGACGTGACCCCTTTTAACTGTTTTCTTTCTTTTTTGCATTCTCTTATAGAGAAATTATTTTTCAATTGTGGCTTTTACCTGTTAATTAGTGGCAGCAACTCTGTCTTTTGTCCTCTTTTAGTACAACCTGTACTTATTTTTCTCACTCATAACTTTTTTAGTTCTCTTTAGCTCTCATTGAGCAATAACTTTTTGATTGTGTCTTTTCAAAGCGCTTTTGTTCTTTGTAATGTGTTCTATTTAGTAGGTATTATAATAATGTAATCAATACATTTTGTACAATTTTTATTACTCCAATTTTTTTTGTTGCAATTGTCACCTCTGAGATACTGACCCAAACTTTTCACACAGCAATGATTTTAACTATTACAAAATATGAAGGGGCTTATATTCTCGGTACAAGCTTCTCTTTGTGGATTTTCACCAAAGTGGGATCAGCCAACAGGGTGGGGTGCCAACACCAGTCCCAGCACCTCATTGTAGAGAGACTGCAGCCGCCTTGATGCTTTCCGAAGGAATGAATGGATGCTTATTTCTTCTTCCTCCAACTCAGCTGTTAGTCCTTTTACAATCTCATCATTGCAAATAGAGGACATTTTTCTGTTCCGGGTGGATTGCCTTCCACCTTTCAAGACCACCAAATCTTGAACATATCGATCTTCAAGACGAACCAAAGCAGCTGCAATATCATGGTAACAAAATGTCTTTACAAGAGAACTGATAATTAAAATAATAGAAAAGGAATTATTCCACTGACTCACACAGTACTTTGTAGACATTCGGGTGGGCCAGCTGACCCATAGCAACATTCAATGCGTGGTGATAGGATTCACAAGCATTTGAAGTTCGGTGCTCGCACTTGTATACAGATAGGATTGGGAGGCGTGATGGTCGTAACCAAGTTCTCTCAATGTAATCAAAAAATGTAGCCAACTGGTTCCACCGCCCAGATCTTTGGGTGTATTCCGCCATCTCCAGGACACCATCTATGATAAAATCAGCATGTAGGAGAGGGATAGCACACAAACATCTCATAATGCTATCACAAACCCCATCATCCTGGATGAGAACCGCAAGACCCATCTCTTTTGCGTGCAGAAGATTTGCCTAAAAATAACAGTGAATTCAATTCACACAATAAAAAGAACATACAGCATGTTTTTATTTTGTTCTACAGATTATTAATTTACCTTTGTAAAGTGGAAATGACATCCACGTCTCTGCGCGATAGGGAATTCTATGGATAATGCTTTCTGTTGGCTGTTTTCAAAATCACACATTATTTCCTTCGGCTCGTAGCCCGGAAGCAGCAGTTTAATGGCCGTTATGGCAGCTCTATAACACTCTGTCAGTTGTGATTGCATGAAGATGCTTCCAATTGGTATGACCTGTAATTGAAAGAAAAGGATATACTACAAAGACAGTGCTTTACAACCAAAGTAGACAATTGGCAAGTGCCTTACATCTGTGGCATTACAACAAAGTGACGTAAGTGCACTTACGACAAAAACGAGTTAGTCGCATGGTTGGAACCCTCTCATTGATGCGGACCTTTTCCAATATGCACAATTACATTTTTCTCGTTTGGTCTAGGAGATAATGACAAGTAAAATCTGACGTAAGTCAATTTCATTCGGAAGTCAATTTGCCAAAATGTCGTAAGTGCACTTACGACATATTTTTTTGAAATCATGTCGTAAAAAATGTGTCGTAAGTACACTTGCGTCACAGATTTTTTCACAGCTGGGCAGGGACCTCGAGTACGATTATGTCATACAGCTAATGACTTGCACTGTCTAAACTTTAATATATAGAGGGGGTCACAACGGAGTAAAATGTAAACTTTCAAAGTGACGTAAGTGCACTTACGTCACTTTGTTGGATTAAAAATCACAAATCATGTGACGTAAGTCTAGCGAAGTGGAAAACCAATCATTATTTTAACTGTCTCTTAACATAAAAGTATTTTTTAAGTGCCACAAGAAATTCTCCTATCATCGGTTAAAGTTTTAACCTGTTGCTTGATTTTGAAAAGTGTTTTTTACGTCTCCTGAAATACTAATGTTTTTGACTTACGTCACTTTGTTGTATTGCCACAGACATGATGTCGCCGTATTGTCACCAGTCACCAGGTTCCATATTTGGCTACAGCCCAGATTGTTTGGAACAATGTGAAATGTTCCATCACACAATAACAATTTCCTTGTTCTTAAATACAATAACATTCTTTTCGAAATGAATATTAGGCATCGAGTTCGATTTGCAGATAAACCATAAGCCCCAGCATATATACAGTCTTCGCCATCCAAAGTTTTGGTAAGAAAACTGTACCGAGGATCTCTTAAGAGCAAGTCTAACTCAGTCAGAGTGTGTGGGAGAGGTGGAAGCTTGGAGTTACGAGCTCTTTGCATGGATGGCAGCAGTTTTGGGAAGGGAATGTTTGCAGCAGCTGCCCTTGGAGTTCTGGAAGGAGAATCCATAAAAAAGAAAGGTTTAGGTTTAAGGTTGGACGCTCAACGAACGGCTCTCTCAAGCATGAGCCTCGTGAGATATAAATACAGCATGGATACAGCAATCATGACATGACAGGTGCACCCCTACACACCCACCCCTTGGACTCACCTCAACTTTAACCTCTCCTCGTCGTATATAGTGTGCAAACATTTATCATCGCCGTTCCGACACCTGTCCATGATAGCTGCTCGTAGCCTTCTTTCATGCAGAAGATTCCAATTGGGGGCGTGATTGTGCCTCTGGGTTTGCCGAAAGTGTTGCCCTCGAGCATCAACACTCGCCCGCCCCCTGCACCTTTTCCTGTAGTTAATGCACTCGAGGCTGAGTCTGCCTCCTTTCATAGTCCTATTGTAATGGTAGCTGTGGCCATCACGACCATGGACAATGTAAGTCCCTTTTCGAATCCCATCGACAAGAGACACGTCTGGGTCGTTTGGAATCATTCTGCTTGTCTGGTCGTGTCAGCTGTGTCTCCAAACAACAACAAAAAGAAACGAAAACAAAATAAAGCCGTAAACGCAGAACGGGTATTTGCACTATTTTGCTGCGAATAAAAACATCTGCCTGGGGCATTCCCTCGGGCACGCCATAAGGGTGTGAAAGTGACAGAGCGACCAAACGCTTTGCTAAATCGCTTAATGCTAACCATTGCTCAACCTAGGTGGCCTGGACGGGCGTGTGTCTGGGCATCACCGCCGGTGACGTTCGCGACGGGGCGCTTCTTGGACTCGGCTCTGGAGTCACCTAGCAGGGACCGTGTCCGGAGTGCCTCCGCACAGGCCGTCCACGCCACAGGGGTGTCTTAGGACGCCTCTGGTCATCCTCGCCACCAAGGTTCGCGATGACGCCCTTCTCGGACGCGGCCACGGCGGCCAGGACATGCGGGTGTCCAGAGTACCGCCGTCACCGTGTGTCAACGCCTGCCGAGCAATTCAGATGAGTCGTTTCGTCGCTCTGTCTCTGTCGCACTCATGAGCACTCCACAAGGGTGCGAGAGAGACAGAGCGACAACCGCTTTCCCGATTCGCTCAATGCTACCTGCAGGAGGGCCTAGGTGGCCTGGACGGGCGTGTGCCCAGGGAGAACCACCGTGCTGGTCATCGCCTCCGCTGAGGTTCGCGATGACGCTCGCCGTAGAGGCGGCCTTGGCGGCAGGGCGTGCGGCTGTCGGGAGAACCGTCGGCCTTCTCCGCCAGCAAGGAGCGCGACCAGTCTTTAGCACGGCGTGGATCGCGTTGATTGGCGTGCATCCGGGGTGCCACCGCGCCAGCCTCCTCGCCGGCAAGGTTCCCGATGGCGTCTTTCTTGAAGATGGCCTCGGTGGCCTCGAATGTGGATCAACTGCATTTTTCCGTTGGTCTGGAAAGAAAACATACAGTTAGTACAAAACAACAAGACAGGAAAGACAGTCAGTACACCAACTTGAAACAGGATGCAATGAATGTGGATGCTATATTAATAATTTATATTCTTTACTTTTGTCTATCTGTGTCAAAACCTTATTCTGGGCGATGTGGACAAATATTCAACGACCTCGTTGTTAAATTTTGTGTAATTTAATACTTTGCTAGAATTCTATTATGAAACTAGTCTTGTTTTCGTTTGAATCTTTCGCGCGCTATCGTCACTTGTCGTCAACTCCTGTGATCCCTACGGAGGTTAACGAAGCGGCGTGCTGCCAACTGTGCGGATGTACCTTCGCCGCCTGCATCACTGCTGTGCACCGAAGTTAAAAGTTGCTCTTTTATCGTTTTGCGTTTTGAGTTATATTGGACTTCCATGTATACATAAATGTTTAATTGTTTAAAAAATTTCAGTATTCAATATCGAACAAAAGATTTTATGTTGGTAATGAATGCACATGCAAAGTTTCAAGTTACCCGGGAAGCTGTGCACCGCTGATATTGCAATTCTCACGATCATCCAGTTGTTGTCCCGTCGGTTAGCCGAGCCTGTGTCAGTTCTTGTTTTTGGTTCTGCTTTATTATTTGCCTTTCAAAGTTGTTTTTTTGTTCTTACTGGTTTTGTCGTGGAGAGAGAGGAAGGAAAAAAAATGGAGTCAACCGGAAATCGTGAGCTAGTGGCGTATATTGCGTCTCTCTATCTTGTGTCTTTCGAGAATGGGGCACAACAAAAAGTTTGTTGTGAGTGCGTGGAGCGTCTTCTGAAGAGGAATCATAGAATTCCGGTGTGGCTTCGGCCAGTCCTCCCGGGAGCTGTGTACCACATAGATGCACTTGCGGAGGATGCTGATCTGGACTCATATGTATGCTTTCTATGTCGGGAACCTTGCTATGTAAGTATCCGTAAACTTAGGAATAATGCCCTGTTTTTTGAAAATTTACATGATTTCGAGTACAAATGGGAATGTTTTTTTCTATTTGTTTATAGTACGATCTGACACAACTTAAAAATGATGCCACCGTGCCGAGGCCCCGTGGCGTGCCTGTCAATGTGTGCACTTCTGGTAGTAATAGTACCGTATCTGCCGAGGTAGAGGTGGCCGCCGCTGTTACTGGAGATCCTCGTTTACGCATGATCCCTTGTGTCGAGCTTGTGGACATCCTGGAGGAGGACTGGGTTTGCGAGTATGAGGGTGATCTACGGAATCTTCTGTGATGAATTGGATTATTTTTATTTTGTATTCACGTCAACATTAAGTTTTCTGTATGTTGTTTTTGTTTACTGATCAATTTCTCATTTATAATTAAATGTTTATCCTTGTGTGAATACAATACCCATAGAATGAGGCCGTTTCTAAAATTCATTCGCATTCCCTGATTACCTTTACTATAATCACTATACTCTGTTTTACCGGGTTTTCACGTAGGGTAAAGTGCCGAACATGGATCAGGGTACCAAACATGGATCATTTCTGTTTGGGCTGCAATAACTCAAGAACGAATAGTGCGATTTTGAATTTTGAAAGCTTCCCGCGTAGCTTGACACCTTGGCTGTTTGATGCCAAGTCCACAAGGCGGTGCCTCCCCCCTCCTCTCCACAGCTAGCCAAACAAAAAAGGCCTTTGACGGCAGCGCGCAAACGGTCCCAGGCGAGTCGGCCAAGGAGGTGAGTTTACAATGAAAGTGATTACAAGCAAACTAATCATCGGAATGGCTTCAAACTTGGTTTGCTTTCGCTTAAGACTATGCCCTTCGATATTTTTCACCCGCCGAAGTTCGGAAGTGCCTGTGGTCAAAACGCGGGTGGGGGTGAAAATACCGAACTTCGAGTTTTGAGCCGGTGGCGTTACGAGCCTCTGACTCAAGAGTTTCTGATATTTTGGACGTTCGTTGATTGTAATAGCATAAAGTTAGTCCATGCCCGTTCGAATGCAGCTATTTCTTGCTGTTTTTAACGAACAGTGTGCCAAATTTACCTCTCTCAATGGAAATATTCGCTTTGTTCGTAGCACCTAACCTAACAGTAAACCATTGTTTTCGATAAAAATAGACAATTGTTTTGGGTTTGAGTAATATTTTAGCACCCATTCACTTTCTTTTCATGCCCCAAGTGCATTTTGTGCCCAATGTGTCAAATTTTCGGCATGACACCATCATTTTAATCGAATGTTGTTGTTTTCTATTAGTGATTTCTTGAGTGCTTGACAGCTAATTTTCCCAATGTTTTTCCTTTCAGGATTACATCATGGCCCCAGCCAAGAAATACAGGACATTTGATCCTGATTCACTTGAACGAGCTCTGAATGCAGTAAAGAACTGTGGCATTTCCATTCGAGCGGCATCCAAGACCTACAAAGTACCTTACATCACACTAAATAGGCACGTTAATGGACTCTCTCAAAGCCTCAAGCCTGGAAGACCACCTAAACTGGTACAGTATGAAGCTGAATTGCATGATGCTGTTGTTACTATGGTAGACATGGGCCATGGTGCTACAGTTTCCGATATCATGGAGTTGGCCGTTGAAACTGTGGACAAAGCTGGCCGTTCCCCTTTCAAATCTAAAGATGACCGCCCCAGCAGGCGTTGGTATAGAGGATTTAAGAAGCGCAACAATTTGTCACTGCGTCAGCCAGAAAACATGTCAGCCAACAGATTTCGAATGGCCACACCTGAGGTTAAAAAAGATTTTTTTGACAAACTTGAAGCTATGTATAAAAAGCTAATACCACTTGGACTTCAACCGTCTCAGATCTACAATACGGATGAAACTGGAGTCTGCGTTGTCACAAAACCAGGCAAAGTCCTAGCTGTCAAAGGTTCAAAAAATGTTCGAGAAAGAACTGGTGGTGAAAGAGGAGAAAATGTCACAGCAGTGGTGACGGTGAATGCTACTGGTTCTCATATCCTCCCTCCAACTTTAATTTTTCGAGGCCAAAGTTTGAATATGGACTTGACTGAAGGTGCCCCAGAGGGCACTGTATTTGCTTATTCCAAAAGAAGTTTCATTGACTCGGAATTATTTGTGGAATGGTTTAAGAGATTCATTGCAGCAATTCCACCTGCCAGGCCAGTACTGCTTCTGATGGATGGCCATGGAAGTCACATCCAGCTGGAAATTATTGAAATGGCTCGCAGCAATGACATTAACATTTTGCTATTTCCTCCTCACACAACAAATTTTTATCAGCCTCTTGATGTTGGTGTTTTTAAATCCTTCAAGTCTGCATTTTCTTCAGAATCTTCAAAGCTGATGAGAAAAAACAAAATAAAGAATATTAATAGATACCATATTGCTCAAGTTTTGAACTCAGCCTGGGTTAAGGGTATAACTCCGGCAAATATCCAAGGAGGTTTTAGAGGGTCTGGAGTGTGGCCACTCAATGCTGATGCTGTAACTCTACCTGGTATGACAGAGCCTGCAAACTGTCCCAGTATCCTTTTTTTTAAAAAAATTATTTACTGTCATATTTTAAGTATTCTTATTATTTCAGGCACAGAAATTAATCCAGAACCAGAAAGTATTCAGTCCCCCAATGCTGACACAGTTCCAGCTCAAGCTCAAACCCCAGGTTCCATTTAAACCCTTGTATCATTTTCTACAAAGCCTAGTAGTTGTCGCTTCACTTATTATTTTCCATTTATAAATTTTGTTTTGTTAGAAATGTTGTTTTAGGCGTTTCCCTTTATGAACTTATTTTTGTCGTTTCATATAAAGGCAATCTTATGAACATGTGAATTTAAATGTTTCAGGTTCTCAAGATCAAGGGTTGAGACCAAGGGTACGCAACTTACTTTCCAAGTTCTCTAAGGATGTAATGGCGGTGATGGATGAGGGTCTGTATACCTATTTATTATTTATCTTACATTTGATATGGACAGCCTCTTACCCTCTTTACTTTATGAAACCAAATTCTGCATCATTACAATTTTTTTATTTTTTTTTAGCAGAAACACAGCACAACAGGCCTGGTGCAGGTGGCACCGTTGCCCGAGGAGATGCTACTGCTCAACGTGCAGCCGTGGATGCAGGAAATGCCACTGTTTCCTCCGACTCACTGGTTGATGGAGCCCACACTGGTAAGTCCTTCACTCACATGTGCTCCTTGCTCGAAACAGGTGCAAGCACGCCCCCGCCATAGCCACGCCTTGAGTGGTTGTGTGGGGCGGCTGCAGACTGATTTCGAGAGCCGTTTTCGTCGCTCTGTCTCTCTCGCACCTATTGGACATGCTCCATCAGTGCGAGAGAGACAGAGCGATGAAAACGACTCTCGGAATCAGCCAGCTGCTGCTGCCGCCGACACCGCCTTCACCGTGCCCCCGGCGCCTCCACGAAGGGCATGGTTGTGGTGGCGGTGCAGGGCTGCCGCTGCTGCGGCCGGCGCGGTGCGCCCGGCGCCTCCACCAAGGGCATGGTTGTGGTGGCGGTGCAGGGCTGCCGCTGCTGCCGCTGCTGCGGCCGGCGCGGTGCGCTCGGCGCCTCCACCAAGGGCATGGTTGTGGTGGCGGTGCAGGGCTGCCGCTGCTGCGGCCGGCGCGGTGCGCCCGCCGCCTCCACCAAAGGCATGGTTGCGGTGGCGGTGAAGGGCTGCCGCTGCAGTTTCCATGAAACTGTGTAGCGGCTCACTCCATTACCCTGTTTACCTACTTGGTTATTTTTTTTTTTCTAGGTACGTCGTCCAACCTTCAATCAGTCGGTGGTTCTACACCGTCGCCTGTCGTTAGCGCTGTCCGTTCCCTCCTGATGCCTGCGAATGATGCTTGCGACCGCCCCAGGTCTCGGTGTATCACTCAGACTAGAGTGATAACAAGTGATGAGTTTTTCAAAGAGATGCAGGAGAAAGAAGCCGCAAAGAAGAAGAAGGAGGATGAGAAGAAGGCTAAGGCTGCTGCGCGAGAAGAAGCAAGGAAAAGAAAAGCAGCCGCTAAGAAGAAGGTAGATAGAAACAAGAAATCAAAGAAGCAAAAGCATGTAGCTGAATCTGAAGACGAGGCAGAGGCCATAGATGACCCAAGCGAAGAAGAAAAAAATAAGAGTGATAGTGATGAAGATGAAGACAATGAAAAATGTGGAGTGTGTGAGAAAAGTTTCCAGCAAGACTTTAACGGGGAACAATGGATCCAGTGCTCTGGCAAGGATTGCAACACCTGGTTCCACATGAAGTGCGTTAAAGTTGCCAAGTATATTGCAACATTCCGTTGTGAGTGGTGTACTCCTGTAGGTCACTTGAAAAAGAAGTGATTATTTTTCTTTTCCATTGATACGCTGTGAAGTAACAATTTCATTCCGTCCGGGTAAATTAAAGTTATTTGTTCAATGAAGCTTGAGAATCTCCGCGGTTAAAGATAGAAAAAATTCCTAAATTAATTTTAAAAAAAGTAAATATCTAGTCATGTTTTAGTCCTTCGAAAAAAAAAAAAAAACAACCAGCTAGTCATACGCAATGTTTCCGCTATTTCTCTTCTTCATTGCTCAAATCGCTTGCGCCCTTTGCTTTCATATTGATCAGTCTTTAATTCAATGATTTTTAAAGTCAATGATTCAATAAATATTGTTTGGTAACACTCTGAGCTTTATTTCTAGTCCACTGTAACATTTTGGTCAATTGTGCAGTTTTGATCCATGTTTGGACCAGGGCCCAAACTTGGATCACCCCCCTCCAAATAGGCAGTGGTTGGTCGGATCTCAAAAATATTTTTTTTCCAGGCCATTGGCATGCAGGCCTACCATCCATGTAGAGGGCAGTGTTCTTTTCAGCTGATCCATGTTTGGGTACCCCGGTCCAAACATGGATCAAATTCAGACCTTTTGGATTTTCCCCAGAACTTCCAGAGTATTTGAGATAGGAATCAACCCCATGGTGAAATTTTCGTCTTAAGGACCACTCTAAAGCCCAGTGCAAAAACATTTAGGTCATCGCAACTTTAAAGGGGTCTAATCGTGGATTTTGTAAAAAGTGATCCATGTTTGGTAACCTTACCCTATTCTCCGTATGTTCTCACAGTACTCTCCGTAGGACCTTACAGTGATCTCCGTAGGACTAGACTGTCTTCCAGGTCCTACGGAGAAGACTGTGCGGTCCGTCGGGGAATACTGTAAGAGCCTACGGAGAATATTGTGAGGGTCGCGGGTTTAGGGGAGGAATCCGAAGAGAGAGTAGGAGGTATGGCTTTGGTTAAACACTGGGTTTATTCAGTACAGACAACAAGGCGAGTACAATCGCAAGTGCGGAGGCGTCGGTCGGAGCGACGCGACGCGGGACGAGTGAGGCAGAGGGCGACTTGTCGCTGCTACCGCTGGACTCAGAGTGACCTGGCCGCTTGGCGTCGCGGAGGTCTCGGGGTCGCGGGCCGAGGGCCCGGCGGAGGACTTCGGGCCCGCTTCGGGTACGGCTTTTGGGTCAGCCCCGGCGGACCGCTTCGGCTCCCGATAGGTCACGATCGGACGCGATCGGGTCTTGGCGTTCGGCGCGGCACGCTACAGTGGAGGCGCAGCGCACTGCTCGCGCGGGGTATCGCTGCCGAGCGTCTGGGCTGCCGGCCGGATCTACGCGCGGGGTATCGCCGCGGTGGTTAATTGGGACTCCTGACTTAGTGCACAGAAAGGGTGTGTAGCCTCAAAAATACTGATCACAGAACTAACTGACTTTACTGTAATTGTGACCCGGCTAACCTAGTTGGTGGGAGTGAGATCATAGTACTTTGGCTTGTATTAACTCTCAAATAAAGTGGGCGCCAGACAGCAGAGCTGTCACCAAAGAAATAGGCTACTAGAACTAAAAGTACACAATTAACAGCAACAAGCTTTATTGCAATAACAATACCAAACTGGACAATACACAAACCAACAGAATATCCGTAAACCAACAGATCTCTTCTCCGTCAACAGAACTCAAGATCCATACGCTCAAAACCAACGCAGACACAATATCTTCAAACTGGACGGACAGACATACTTAGACTAAAATTAAACACTGGCACGCCATGGGCACGGGTTTAAGCAGAACACAAATAAAATGAGCACGGGTACACCACGGACACTGGCCCCCCCAAAAACCAGAATGGCCCCCCCC